ACCTGTTCCTGAGATGATTCTGCATAGCAACCTGATAACTGAAAGGTCTGTGGTTCAAATCCACCAGCTACTCTGAGGAAGAAGGATGGGCGGTCTCTTCTTGTAAAGAGGTATTTTATGTACTGCTGAGTGGGCTTGACCGAGCAACCTTATGTAGAATAGAAGTCGAGGTTTATGTTGTTGTTGTTACATGCCGTCGAATCACCTGTGACTCATAGTGACCCCATGTACAACAGCTCTAAACCCTGCTCTATCCTGTGCCAATCTTACTGTCTCTGACACACCTACCCTCGTTACCCCAGTCATTGAATCAATCCATCTCATCGAGGGTCTTCCTCTCTTGTGCTGTCCCTTTACACTCCCAAGCATGATGGCCCTCTCCAAGGGCTGGTCCCTCCTTGCAATATGTCAGATGAAGCTTCAGAATCCTTGCCTCCAAGGAACAGCCTAGTTTAACCCTCTCCAGGATGAACCTGTTAATTCTCTTAGCAGTCCATGGTATATTCAACACTCTTCTCCAGCACCACAGCTCAAAGGCAGCAAGTCTCCTTCTAGTATCCATAGTCATTGTCCAGCTCTCTGATGCATAACAAGCAATTGCAAAGACCATGGCCTGGAGAGATTTATAGCTTCAGAAAACCCTATTGTGGGTTGCTGTGATTTAGAATGGACTACATGGCAGTGGGTTGTTGTTGCTGCTGTGCGCTATTGAGTTGGAATCGATCCATAGCTGACCCTCTCCATAGGGTTTTCAGAGTCTGTTGATTGCATGGGAGGAGATTACCCTTCCTCCCGCATAGTAGTCAGTGGACTGAAATTGCACGGGTTAGAAGACATGTCTCTTGGAGCAAGTCAGTTTCACAGTCATTTCCTACTTCTTTGAGAACTGCCCTTGGCCTTGGAGGGGTATGCACACTAGGAGCCAGTCTGCATGATACAACCTTCCCTCTGTCATTGCCATGATAGACATCTGATCCTCGCTGATGAATTATGCATTCCTTCTCATCCAGGAAGCCTGGATTTGCACTGGAGAGACTGAGAGACTGGAGGCTGGTGCAGCTTAGTCATGCCAACAGGACCCCATTAGAGAGAGGGCTCACAAATCCTGATGAAGCTCCAGACCAGTGCACTGCATTCCTCTGTCCATCTTGCTGGGTTTGCACTCTTTGTATTCTCTCTGGCAACTCAAAATAACCAAATAATCCTGAATAGCTATGTTATTGTTGTTGTTATGTGCCTTGAGTTGCCTGAGACTCATAGCGAACCCATGTACAACAGCCCTAAAACCTGCTCTATCTTGTGCCAATCTTATTGTCTCTGACACACCTTACCCCCATTACCCTAGTCACTGAATTTTAGAACTCAAAAAACATCAAATTCAATGCTGTCAAGTTAGAACCAACTTGTAGCTGTGAATCACATGGGAGGAGAATGCTCACCTTTCTCCCTGGGAGCACCAGGTGGATTTGAACCATACCACCTTTGGGTTGGCAATGCAACTTCCTAGCCACTAGGCCACCAGAGCTCCTAACTATAGAATAGCAAGAGATACCTGTTACAGTTTATGCAAAGATTCACCAGTGTTTGTACTCAGGGTCTTAAAAAAAAAAAGCAGAAATGTTACAAAGTAAATATTTCCCACTTGTCTTTTCTAGCCCTGTGAAGATGGGGTTATATAATGTGACTAATTTCTAAGGAAAATAACCAGGAGTCACGCTTCACCCGAAGGCCAAAGATTTCACAGTTGTTACCTTGAGAAAAGAAACACTTATGCCAATTGGCAAAATGTTCTCTTTTGGTTCAAGATGAGGTGTGACAATTAAGCAGAGAAATATGTTATCTTGTGTGGCTGACAAAATAGACTGGAGGGAATATGGGGAGACTGAATGAGAATCAAGTCAGTTCTTTCTCGCAACCACCTTCCAGCTCTAAGCCTTTGTTGGAGGTAAATGCCCAACTTTCTTCTTCAGAATGACAGGTGGATTTGAATTGCTGACCTCTCTGTTAGCAGTGTGATATGCCAAGCTGGGTTCTTAACATCCCTTAAAAAAGTAAAAAAAAAAAAAAAAAGAATCAGTGCTATACTCTTACCCCAACAGTGGTTAATGAGCTTGTAAACTTCTTTGATAAAGAAGCCACTTCATTGCACATTGCAGTAGTTAATCTGAAAGAAGAAAAAACCAAATAGGTGTTTGGGAGTTTTCAATAAGGTAAAATCTGTTAACTGACATGACAATTACTGATATTAACGTGGGATTACAGCTAATAAACTAGCATTCTAGCTTGAAGATGCTCCACAGAAATGTGTAATCAGGTAATTTGTTAACATTAGCTGTTTTTAATCTACTGAATGATAATATGTTTTTCTCTTATAATACATAACGCATAGAAAAATTTTTTTAAAAAAAACAATGCACGGAATGATTGTATGAAACACAATATAAGTGAAGAATAGTGTGAAACACAATGTATATGAACTTTGTAGGCAAATTAATATAAAATTTAAAAAAGAGGAAAAGAATTCATTTTTCAGAAAGTCCTATTTATCTATAAAAACATAATCTAATAATTTTTAATGATTTCACAGTCATGTCTTAGTCTGATCCTCGTTTTCTCTGCAGCACGATCTAACTCATTCAGTCTCCTATTTTTGGAATCAAATTGCATGCAGGATGAAAACAAGATTTGACTTCCACTTGTATAGGTGCATAAATGCTTTAGCCAGATGGTTTTTCACCAACTCCATACTTTAAAAAAAAATAATAGTTACTATTTATTAAGGCATCATGCTAAGTACACTGCAGTGAGTCTTACTTCCAATCTCTTCATAATACCTGGACTGTCTAGTTAACTCTTCTGCTCTTTGCTAACATAATGCATTTTTTTATTCTTGACATTTTAATGAAAGTTTACAGAGACTTTGGATTTCCATTCATTCATGAGAAGGATTGATTCTGTGAGTGGAGGGGTTGGGAATGAGTGTGAGATAGCGAGGTTGGCACAGGATAGAACGGCATTTAGGGCTTTTGTACATAGGGTCACTACGAGTCACAAGTGACTCGATGGCACATAACAACAACAACAACGTTGCACATTTTCCTCTCTGTCCACCCCTCCCCACCCTGTTTGCTTTCCTCTTTGAAAAGGAAAAAAAATTCTTTCATTGTTATATAATCCACTCCCCCAAGTCCACTTTACTATGCAGGTCTTATTCTGGACTCTTGTCATGAAAATAATACCTAATCATATATTCCTTTTAAACATTTTAAAGAAAGCTCTTTTTTTTATTTTGTGGGTTTGTTTTTGTGGTTTTTAAATTTTATATTAGTTTACTTACAAAGTTTGTGTATTTTCTTCTTAAAACGACTTTATAATGTTAGAATTGGTTGACTTGAAACCTAATCTTATTTGTCTGTCTTGAGAGAGAGAGATGGATAGATAGAAACAAATGGCATACACATTTGTTATGTTGGTAGGTGCCGTTGAGTCAAGACAGAAAGCTGGGGCAGAAGAATTGAAAGAAACTCTCACTTGATCAGAACTTTGGCTTGGTCCTGAGCTGGTTTCTCCTCCTCTTGCCCATGAAGAATTAACTCGGCCACTTTATGGAGCTGCTCGATGCAGCGTGCTGTGACTTCAGCCAGGCTCTCGATGCACAACATGTACACTTCCTACAATGAAGAGACACGTGGGAGACGGACCTGCACAGAAGATGCTCTGAAGCGCACACAGATTTGTACACAAATGTTCATAGCAGTATTATTCACCATCGCAAGAACATGGAAACAGCCTAGATGTCCAACCACAAATGAATGGATTGAGAAATTATGGTACATTCATGCTATGGAATACTATGCAGCATGCAGGAGCAATAACTTTGTAAATTATTACCTAATTTGGGAGGGACTGGAGAGCATTATGCTGAGTGAACCAACTCATTAACATAAGGATAAATATTGTATAAAACCATTATTGTAGAATGAGTATAAGGATCCAGGAGAGGTGGGAGAGGCTGGAAGCAGAGGGATGTGGATGTGCAGGTGGAAGGGGGATTAATCACTGGGATGTACAATTTGATGGATAGGGAGGTGAGGGAAATTGACAGAATTTGTTCAAATTTGTATTTGTAAATAAGCTGGTAGAAAAATAAAAAAAAAAATAAATAAAAACCAAACCCAAAACCAAAATAACAAAATCCCATTACACTGAAAAAAATGATATCATAAAAAGGAAATGATATACCAAGACTTTCTAAGTGGAAATGATGTCACTGAGTGGAAACCCTCATTATGACCCCATGGACATCGTAAGCCTTGCTCACAACTGCCACACATCCCCACAGCCCAGAACTTGGGACAATGCTGGGCCCAATAGGTGTTCACAAACATACGTGCAAGAGATGCTGATCAAGCAGGCCTCAATGGCAAGTTCTACTATAGAGTGATCTAATTTAAAAGTTCCTTCGTCTAAAATTAAAATTCAATGTGAAGATGAAGTTATGGCAAGACACCCTTTTTGAACTCAGGCAGGATATAAATTATGCACATGTAAATTTATTAAACTACAGAATAAAAGCTACAGCAATGAAAAACTGGGGGGGGGGAAGCTTCAATTATCTCATTAGTTATAGGGCATAAAGACATTTTATAGTTCCTGATTTGCATAGAAGATAGAATTCTAGCCTAAAGATAAATCAACTATGTTCTTAAAGGTCTCCCCGCCTCTACTTTAATTTGGAATTATAAAGCTACAGAGAAAAGCTCAAGATTCTGTCTTGATAAAGACATTTCAATACTTGATACATTATTCTACATACTTCTATAAGGGGTGAAGTGCAAAAAATGAAAAGGAAAAAAAAAAGGCCCTCTTTGTTGAAATTTGTTAGGTACCATTGAGTCGAACGTGACTCATAGAGATCCTTTCAACAACAGACAGAAACTTTGCTCTATCCTTCAATTATCATAATATTACTGCCCTCTGGGTTTCTCTCTGTGATTTGAGTGAAACTTCACTAAGTCAATTGGTTTTCTATTCAACCATTTATGTACACTTTAAGAGGTTAGTTACAATACCCACACACTTCCCAAATCCTCCCTGTGATTCTTGAGTCATTGAAATGAATTTGCCTTGATTAAGTTAGGATCACTTTACCTCAACTGTCTTCACTTTCTTTTCTTCCTTTGTTCCTTCTTCAGCACTTCCAGGCTTCTCCTCCTCATCTCCCTCCTGGTCTTTCTCCTCAGGCTCTTTGGCCATATCCACTGACACCAGGGTTTGATCGTCTTCTACCCAGTCATGAGCTTTCTTCATCGCCTATGAACCAGCCCCAATCAAAGCAATATACTTATTGTGTAAACCCGGAGAAGGAATTTCAATCTCAAGACTACAACCAAGCTGCTCGAAACCTTCAAGAGCAGTTCTCACTAGGTTTCCAGGGTATCAAAAGCAATTCCTGCTGCTGTCAGGTGCCATCATGCTGACTGTGACTCAACAAATCTGAACCTTGCCGTAGCCTACGCCGTCCTCATGATCTCTGTCCTTCCTGCTCCAACCCATCGATGTTGTCACGGTACCAATCCATCTCATTGAGAGTATTCCTCTCTTTTTATGACCCTTTGCATCATGATGTCTCTTTCCAAGAGCTAGTTTCTCCTGGAAATGTGTCCAAAGTAAGTGAGGCAAAAGCTGACCATCCTTGTTTAAGGGAACACGCTGCTTGCACTTAGAGATAAGGCAATTCCTAATCTCCTTAAAAGATGTTCCCTAAGGACTCCAGTAACAATGTTAGCTTAACTTCTGAGGCATGCCTCCTCCAAGCTACAGTATTTTCAATTGCTTCCCATGCATCTGAAAGTTGGACAAAAAATAATGAAGATCAAAAAGAACTCATGCCTTTGAATTATGGTATTGAAGAAAAGAGTACTGGCTATCCTATATACTTCCAAAAGAACAAACGAATCTGTCTTGGAAGAAGTACTGTGAGAGGGAGCTCTGGTGGCCTAGTGGCAAGGATTTGCACTGCAATCCTGAAGGCATGCAGTTCGAATCCACTAGATGCTCCGCTGGATCAGGATGAGTAATCTCCTCCTGTGCCAGTCAGTTCTTACTCGAGGGCACACAATAACAACAACAAAAATTAAGAAAGAAAGAAAAAAGTACTGCTGGGTTGCTCCTTAGAGGCAGGGATGGTGAAGCTTTATCTCAGATACTTTGGGCATGTTGTCAGAAGGGGCCAGTCCTAGGAAAGTGGCACCATGCTGGGAAAGGTAGGGGGCCTGAGAAAGAGAAGAAGATCCTTGACAAGGTGGATTGACACAGTGACTGCAACACTGGGCCCAATCATATCAGAGACTGAGTACGGCACACGATAGGTCCAAGGTTAGCTCTGCTGCCTATAGGGTTGCTGTGAGTTGAAGCTGAGTCTGTGGCACCTAACAAAAACAACAACAACAGCAATAATACTACCACCACCAATGTTGCCAGTTGGTACAAATGACTTGTAACACACTTCAGCCTTCAACATGGATTGCATCTCAACATCAAGAAAATAAAAATCCTCACCACTGGGCCAACAGGCGCCATCATGACCGATGGAGAAAAGACTAAAGGTGTCAATGATTTCACCTTGCTCAGATCCACAATCAACACCCATGGCACTAGCAGTCAGGTAATCAAAGATGAGTTGCATTGGGGAAATCTGCTGTCAGGGACCTCTCCAGAGTGCTAAAGAGCACTATATCAGTCTAAATACTAAGCTGCACCTGGTCCAAGCCATGGGCCTCTCAATTTCTTGTTATGCACCTGAGAGATGGACAATGACTGTGGGTGACAGAAGAATGGGTGCCTTTAAGCTGTGGTGCTGGAGAAGAGTGTCAAATATACCATGGACTACCACGAGAACAAACAGGTCTGTCCTGGAGAGGGTGAAACTTGGCTGCTCCTTGAAGGCAAGGATTTTGAAATTCTGTATCACATATTTTAAGTATGTTGAAAGGAAGGGCCAGTTCTTGGAGAAGGACATGATGCTTGGAAGGGTAGAAGGTCAGTGCAAGAGAGGAAGGCCCGGGATGAGTCATAATGACACAGCTACTGTGGTCATGGGGTCAGGTGTTTTAGAATGGTGAGGTTGGCTCAGGATAGGGAAAGGTTCAGAGCTTTTGTTCACAGGGTCACTATAAGTCATAGTGGACTTGACTGCTCCTAATAACAAGAAGACCACTAACCTAAACAAGGAGTATAGTGGCCCAGCAGTAAGGTTGAGTACTGCCATCCCAAAGGCATGTGGTTTGGATCCACCAACTACTCCACAGGAGGAAGAAAGCAATCTCCTCCCGTGTGATTTACCACCTCTGAAAACCTGCTAGAGGGTCAGCTATGAGTTGGTTCCAACTCGATAGCTCCTAACGATACAACAGCTAACCTAAATGGAGCTCTGGTGGCTGAGTGGTAAGAAGCTGCATTGCCAACCCAAAGGCACACAGTTTGAATCCACCAGCCACTCCATGGTAGAAAGATGAATAATTTCCTCCATCTGTATGATTTACAGCCTCTAAAAACCTGGTGGAGGGTAAGCTAAGTTGGTTCAACTTGGGATTACATAACAGTAAGAACCTAAAATCTAACTAACTGAAAGGTTGGTGGTTCAAATTCAACCAGCTATATGAAAGAAATGCCTGGTATTCTCCTTCCACAAACATAATTGCTGTTCTGTGCTGTCAAGTTGCCTGAGACTCATAGCGACCCTATGTACAACAGCTCTAAACCCTGCTCTATCTTGTGCCTGTCTTATTGTCTCTGATACACCTATTCTCATTACCCCAGTCACTGAATCAATCCATCTCATCGAGGATCTTCCTTCTTGTGTTGTCCCTCCACACTCCCAAGCATGACGTCCCTCTCCAAGGAGTGGTCTTGCCTTGCAACATGTCCAAAGTACGTCAGATAAAGCTTCAGAATCTTTGCCTCCTAGGAGCAGCCTGGTCTCACCCTCTCTAGTATGAACCTGTTTGTTCTCCTAGCAGTCCATGTTATATTCAATACTCTTTTCCAGCACCACAGTTCAAAGGCATCACTTCTTCTATCATCTCTAGTTATCGTCAAGCTTTCTGATGCATAGCAAGTAATTGTAAAACTATGGCCTGGAACAGGCACACCTTGGTCTCCAAACTGACATCATTGCTCCTCAGTACTTTGAAGAGGTCTCTGACAGCAGAGTGCTGGTACCAAGAGTGTTGATTGTGAAGCCAAGCAAGCTGAAGCTGCTAACAATCTCAATATCTTCACCATCTATCATGATGCAGCCAATTGGTCCAGTGGTGATAATAGTCAAGAAAATCCCATGCAGCATCTCAAGTCTGTAACCTGTAGGGTCAATCATGAGTCTGTATCAACTCTGTGGGGAATTTTTGGTCATTTTTAAGAAAGTAAGAAAACAGAATAAAATAGCCTGAGGGGAAACACAGCCACACTGGAAAGAAGATGGATGGAATATTTTTTCCACTTTTCATGACCAACTATAAAAGAATAACAGTATTTTTTAAAATACAGGTTAGACATTTAGCCTTGGCCATTGATCAAGCAAATGTCTCCTTTGCTATGTCTCATGAAGCTCTTAATGTTTCATGAACCTGATAACAGATCACACGGGGAAGGTGAAGGATAGCTCGCTGTCCTCACACTCATGCAGGTCCTCAGACCACAAGGGGGGATAAGAGTTGTTAGAGAGAGACTGGTCTACTCTGTGATGACTTGAATTTCACAGGAATCTACAAGTGTAGTATTAGCAAATTACAGGAAGCCTTAAAGATGACAGCCGAACTGTGTAAGAAGAAACCACACCAAACTTCAATTTCCTGAAATTGGAAACATGCAGCCTTGTCTGGCATGTATTAAGCCTTTGGCTTAAATGACAGTTGTTTCTAAGTATATGCTGAACTCAAAGACTCCCTTTAATATTGTTTAAATGGTAATGTTTAAGACGGAAAAGTGCTGAATGGTAACTTAACAGCAAAAAGATTAGGAGGTGGGGAGAAAACGCAGCAAAATTCTCTCATTTTGCCTGCCAGGAGGGCCTCGGGTGTCTTCTTTTAGGACCCTAACTCTGTCTCTACAGCAGTGGGATCTTGAAGCTACCACATGCTCCCTCCAGGCAGTGGCAGGCGCTCGGAGATGAATGAGGCAATTTCCTGCTGTGTTCACAGTGACCGACCTGCCAGAATCGGTGACCCCTCGCGGAGATAAAGGAATTATTCATCTCCTCACCTCACAGCCTCATTCTGCCCTCCTCACCCATCTGTGTAAACCACTACTTGCTCAACAGAGAATGTGGGGGAGGGCAGAAGGCAAGGATAATACAGCCTTAAGCAATTTGTGATTTGTCTTTCTCTTTAAGAAACTCAACAACAAGACCTGTGCTACTTACTAGACACACTAACGTATTAGGGATTGCTGGTTCCTTAGTGGTAAGGAGTTGGGTTGTCAACCTAAAGGCACACAGTCCAAGTTCACCGGCTGCTCCGAGGAAGAAAGATGAGCAGACTCTTCTCATTCAATTTATTGACTCTGAGCTCCTGCTGGAGTATCAGCTATGAGTTGGTTCCAATTCGATGGTATATAACAACAACTACAGTAGTATTATTGTTGTGTGCCATCAAGTCAGAACCAACATATATCTGACACTCCAGCAGGTTTTCAGAGGCAGTAAATCACAGAGGAAGAGATCGCCCATCTTTCTCCAGTGGAGCAGCTGGTGGATTAGAACCACATGTCTTTGGGATTGCAGCGCATCTTCTTACCATCAAGTCGATGACAACTCATAGAGACCCTGTGAACAACAGATCTGAATCTTGGGTCATCCTCACCATCTCTGATATATTTGTGTCCATTGTTAGTCACTGTGTCACTCTACCTTGTTGAAGGGCTTCCTCTTTCTGACTCTCCACCTCTCAGTATGATGCCTTCTTTCGAAGGACTAGCACCTCTTGATGACACACTCAAAGTATGTGAGACAGAGTTTCACACCCTTGGTTGCACTTCTTCCAAGACAGATTTGTTTGTTCTTTTTGCACTCCATGGGCTAGTCAGTACTGTCAATGATTTAATTTTCTTTGGATTTCACAATCAACATCCATAGTTACAGTAGTCAAGAAATCAAAAGACATGTTTCATTGGAAAAAAATCTGTTAACAACATTTCTAAAGTACTAAAGAGCAAGGATGTCAGATTAAAGACTAAGGTGTGCCTGATACAAGCCATAAGATTTTTCAATTGCTTCCTATGCATCTGAAAGTTGGATGATGAAAAAGGATAACAGAAAAAATAATTAGAGCCCTTGAACCATGGTATTGGAGAACTTGTTGACGTGTTGTTATGTGCTGCTGAGTCACTTACGACTCATAGTGACCCTATGCACAACAGCTCTGAACTCTGTCCTACTCTGAGTTAATATCACTGTTTCTGAGATCCCAACCCTCATTACACCAGTAACTGTGTCAATCCGTCTCCTTTAGGGCCTTCTCCACCATTCCAAGCATGATGCCCTTCTCCAAGGACTGGTCTCTCCTGGCAAAATGTCCAAAGTACGTAAGATGGAGCTTCAAAATCTTTGCTTTCTAGAAGCAACCTGGTTTCACTCTCTTCAGGAAAAACCTGTTCGTTCTCTTGGCAGTCCATGGTATGTTCAATACTCCTCTCTAGGACTACAACTCAAAGGCATTCATTCTTTTTCTGTCATCCTTAGTCATTGTCTATCTCACAGATGCATAGCAAACAACTACGAAGACCCTGGCCTGGATCAGGTGCATCTTAGTCTCCAGACTGACATCGTTGCTCTTTAGCACTCTGGAGAGGCCCCTGACAACAGATTTTCCTAAAGTTAAGTAGTTTTTCTATTTCCTGACTGCTGATCCCAAGAGGATTGATTGCGGAGCCAATAGAGGAGCCCAGATTGCCATGGATGAGACACGGTACCAGCTCTTAGGGAGATTTTGTCTCCTTATAAAATCTTATTTAACTCAGTGACTTGTTCAAAGTCAAGGAGTTGAGTTTGTGACCTTGGAAACTATTTGGTCTTGTCCTACCTGTTTCTATGGCTAGGGCACGTGGAAATGACTTGAGCAAGTGGCTCGGTCAATGTCACAAGGCAACAGCAAGCTGCAACTCAAATGTAGCTTTCATGATGCACAAAGCATGCTTTTTACCATCACACTTCACTATGCTGCTTCTCATCTTACTGGTTAACTTCAAATTCTTCTCACTGTGCCTTATTGGAGTTCTGCCTTTTTTCCTATTTCTGATAGATCTCTGGATTTTTACAAATGAAAATTTTAAAACAATTTAAGCAAAAACTTGAGAATCTGAAGTTGCTGACCTTATTGAGTTTGTCAGGTGTGGCTGCAACATGGATTTCGAAGAGAAGATCTGTCAGCATGCGAGCAAATTCTTCTCCCTTTTCTTCTAAGCCTGAAAATAGAGAGTGGCAGAGGTGAGAAGTCTGTCATCATTTGCATCCTTCAGAATGAGGCTGCTCTGCCAACATTACATCAGGGTAGACAGACTACACAGAGGCTGCAGGAGCTTGGACCTCAGCTAATAGATTAAGGCGAGTTTCGCCCACTTATGAATGCAACTATGAGGCAGCTCTCTGCTGAGTGAAGGGCTGTTGACACCTGGCTGCTCACCACTCTAGCTGGGATACTTCTCAGCTGGCCTAAAGGCAACATGAAGGAAGGAACTCCTCTACTTTGTTCATAGTAACAGGTGGTCAATAGTTATTTGTTGGAAGAAAGAATGAACAAATGCATGACCTTTCCCAGGCATGTGAGAACTATATTTGTGGCTCAGAATATTGTTATGCTTGACATTGCAACCCTAATGATACCCAGGGTGCCTCTTCTGTCCACAGAGCCCCCGCGCTGAGCAAACAGAATTCGTCCCAATAGGCTGCGTGCTATCTGATGTAACAATATTACATCTCTGGAAGAACTTCCCAAGGTTTTCCCAGGACACTACTCTGGTCTTGCAATATTTCTGAGCAATTTGTTTTTCCCTTCACCCTGGAAGGTACAGAACGACAGAGACAATATTTGTCTTGCTCATTTCTAAGCTATAGCATCTAACACAATGACTGGAACATAAAAATCTCTGGCTACTGTGCAGATTCTGACTCACAGCAACCCTAAAGGGCAAAGGAGAGGCTGCACTCTTTATGGAAGTATATAGCCACATCTCTCTCTTGTGAAAAGGATATTGGCTTTGAACCACTGACCTTTTGGATAACAGATGAGTGCTTAACTACTACTGTACCACCAGGGCTCCTTCTTAGAACATACTGATGGCTAAATGAAGACTTAAGGATTAACAAAATAAATATCATTTGTGGGTAATGAAGAGAAAAGGAGATTGTTAAAAGTTTTGCTTTTATTTGTCTCATTAATATTTTCATGCTGGTACCATTTTTAGTTTCTGATGATAAGTCCTTAAATTTCACAATGGGTTGAGCAGCTTTGGAGACATGTAAAGGCAGCATTAATCTGGCCTTACTATATGATCTCAAAGCATTTTTGAGAAAACAAGATTCTGGCTTATGCCACTGTTGGAGGCAGTATGTTCAAGGAAGACGAAGCCACTTCAGACATATTCTGACCACTTGCTTGCACCTGCTGTTTTCCATTTTACAGACCAAATGGTTTACAAGCAGCATGTGAAGACAGCCAGGGAACTTGTGAGTCTTTATATAAAAACAAAACAGAACAAAAGCCACAACATTTGGCCTAGCTCAGGTTATGGCCTTTTATAATTCGTATGTCTCTGTGTGGTGTAACTGGGTTTACTTGGTTGGCTGCCAACCAAAGGGTGGTGGCAGCTGTTTGCCATCAAGCTGGAACCAGGTCATAGCTGGCCCTCGAGTGCGTTTCCAGAGGCAGTAAGTTGTACAGGAGATTTCCCATCTTTTTCTCACAGACAGCTGGTGGGTTTGAACACTGTGCCTTTGGGATTGCAGCACAGCTTCTTGCCACTAGGCCACGAGAGCTCCCTAATACAAAGATAGGAAGTTCAAGTCCTTCCAGAGATACCCTGGAAAATGACCTGGTATGTACTTCTGAAAAATGTCTCTGTCATTTCTGTTGAGTTGGAACTGTCTTGTGGCCGACCCTCTATTTGCTTTCAGAGGCTGTAAACCCCACAGGAGGAGGAGATAGCTCATCTTTCCCCAGGTTGCTGCCAGTGGATTCGAACCACCACAGAGCCACAGCCACTGGCTTAGCAGTGTATCTCCCTATGGACTAGACCACCAGAGTTCCCTTCTGGAGAAAATAAACCACTGGAAGTCTATAAGGCACAGGTCTATGGTAGCTCACAAAAAGCTTCCAGGAGTTGGAATCAACTTCTTATTGTTACATGCTGTCAAGTTGGAATTAACTCATAGCTGACCCTGCACTGGGTCCTTGTTGTTAGGTGATATCTAATTGAGAACTGTTCACAGTGACCTTATGAACAACAGATCTGCACCCTGTCCTATCCTGTGCCATCTTCACAATCTCTGACATGCTTAAGTCCATTGTTGTAGTGACTGTGTCAACCCATCTGGTGAAGGGGCTTCCTTCCCTTTGTCAGTGGGTACTTGGGAGGCTATAAACCACACAGGAGGATATTCTTTTTCTGATGAAGCAGCTTGTGGGTTTGAACTGTTGCTAACCTGAAGGAAGATGGATTTGAACTTCCTCCTTTGGGGTGAACTGAGGCACCTCCTTTGGGTTAACATCCCAGCTCTCACTGGACCATACCACCAGAGCTCCCTGTCTGTTCCCCAGTGAGCTCCAAATGACACCCACTTTTCCCCCATTCAGACTTGCTTGTTAGTCACTGTGTTAAATCGGCTCCTTTATATCTCAAACATCTTAGGTTTGAGACTCATCCTACACTGGGATGGTCTCACTGGTACAAAAGAGAAAATTTTGTTCCCAATGAGATGCTATCAACAAGTATCAGGTTTAGGATTGCCACGGTCCCTAACATAAGCCTTGAGGAAAGAGAATGCACATCAATAGCTTAGCTATATAAGCATAATGCCTGTTGAGTTGATTCCAACTCATGGCAACCCTCTATTAGGTTTCCGAGGCTGTAAATCTTTAAGGGAGAGATTGCCCATCTTGTTCCTGTGAAGTGTACGAACTGCCAACTTTCTAGTTAGAGGCCTGATGCATAACATTAAACTGTAAGGGCTCATTAGGTAAACATATAGATGAGAGAAAGTGGGGGGGGGGGAAGGCACACCATAGTCTTCAAACTTATATTATTGTTCCTCAGCATTCTGCAGAGGCCCCTGGCAGTGGATTTGCCCAGTGCAATTAGTCTCCTGATTTCCTGACTGCTGGTACCAAGGGTGTGGATTGTTGATCTAAGCAAGATGAAATCATTAACAGCCTCAATCTTTTCTCCATCTATCAAAATGTTGATTGTTTGGCCTGTGGTGAGGATCTTTGTTTTCTTACTGTTGAGATATAATCCATACTGGAGGCCATAGTTCTTCATCTTCTGCAGCAAGCGTTTCCTACCCTCCTTTCTTTCAACAAAGTTGTGTCATCAGCATAACACAGGTTGTTGATGAGTATTCCTCCAGTCCTGATGCCACACTCCTGTTCAAAGTGTCTGGCTTCATGAATGATTTGCCCAGCATACAGATTGAACAGGTATGGATAAAGGATACAACCCTGATGTACCTCCTTCCTGATCTTAAACCATGCAATATTCCTTTGTTCTGTATGCATGACAACTTCTTGGTCTAGGTATGGATTCTGCATGAGCACAATTAATTGTTCTTAGATTCCCATTCTTCTCAATGTGAACCATAATTTGTTATGATCCATGCAATCAAATGCCTTTGTGCAGTCCATAAAAAAACAAATATACATTCTTCTAGTATTCTTTGCTTTCAGGCAAGATCCAGCAGCTGTAAGCAATGATATGACTGTTGCTGTTGTTGTTACGTGTCCTTAAGTTACCTGTGACTCATATAGACCCTATGTCCATTAGCTCTGAACCCTGCCCTATCCTGTGCCAATCTCATCATCTCTGACAGACCCATCCCCATTTCTCCAGTCACTGAGTCAATCCATCTCATCCTGGGTCTTAGTCAACACTAAATTAGACTAGAAGGACTTTGTGTAGCTGCAGCTTTTAGAGGCACACATGGTTCCACAAAACAGTAAACCAGACCAAGAACATCCAGCCAAAAGAATTCACATAGAGTAACAAAGTAAATCAATACAGATGATAAAAAAAGGTGACAAAGAATACTTATTATTCCAATTCATGGTCTGTAAAAATGACCAGGAGATATTCACCAAGACAATAAAAATGGAAAGTACCCTTCTTAAATCTCTTCCCAACAGTAGTAAACCAAATTAGAGACCCAGGACAGTGCCATAAAATGACACCCTCCTGGAAAAGACAAACATGCAAATCGTAGGTAACATTATTAAGTGCACAGAAGCTTGATATTAAATTTATCTAAAAATGACAGTTTATTACATTTCCAGAGATGATAAAATAAATTATTTAGGTGTGAGGGGGCTTTTAGAAGTTTAAATGCTTACAAGAAAAAAATAAAACTGATGAAATGCTCCGGTTTCTTGAACTATTTTTGCTCTAGGGTTGTGTATTCACCCCAGGAAAGGAAGCAAAGATGGCAAAGCTTTGTCTTTCATACTCTGGCCATGTAGCTAGGTGAAGCTATTCTTTGGAAAGAGATATCATGCTTGGAAAGATGGGGGGTCAGCAAAGGAGAGGAAGACCTCCAAAGAGATGGACTGACACAGTGACTACAGTAAAGTCCTTCTCCAGGTTGAAAATACTATGGCTTGGCACAAGTGTACCCTAGTCTTTAAAATAACATCCTTGCTCTTTATAACTGACAGTGGATTTGTCCAGTGCAATGCACTTTGATTTTTTCACTGTGAGTTCCACAGACATTGATTGTGAGTCCAAGATAAACTAAATCCTTGACAATTTTCATCTCTTTTCTATTTATCATGATGTTGCCTCTTGGTTTAGTGTTGAGGATTTTTATTTTCTTGATGTTGAGGTATAACTCAAATTGAAGACCATAGTCTTTTATTTCGAACTGCTATTTCTTTCTCTTTGATTCCAACTTACGTATCATAAGCATCAGGAATTACCAGTGCATACTGGATCAATTTCAGACTACAGAAGATGGTAAAAACCTTCACTTGTCTTCATCTTTGACATAGGTTGTTGGTGCATAAATTTGAACAGTTGCATTTACAGGCCTTCCTTGTAGGAGTATGAGTATTATTGATCACTGTACTTCAGAATAAATCTATCATTGTACTTCAGAATAAATCTTGAAATATTCTTTTTGATAATGACCACAATTCCATTTTCTTCCATGTGTCCTCTGGCATTGTAGATCCTATTATTATAACTAACTCAATTGGCCA